GTGTCTATAACAAAAGAATAAAATGGGCATTTGTTTAAAAATATATGTACTGATTAATTAATGATGTAAACTGCAGATAATGTTCTTCCTATACAACTAAAATGTAGTTAGTTTTAATTCCAAATATTTAGTCTAATAATTGTTGTATAGAGTACACATACAGTTACCTGTCCTGTTTTTCACAATTTTATGCAAATGTTCACACATTTTTTTAAACAGTGTTTAGTAAAGGAGTGTAATGAATGTTTTAATTTTTGTTTTTTTCTTTAGTTTTCCTTAGTAAGAAAAGGTATCATTGATATATCATGTTATATAACCTATTAATTTCCCTGTTTTGCAGAATGTGTATGTTAACATCGACAGAATTTTGACTGTTGCATCTCGCCTAATTGAAAGCAATCATTATGCTGCCCAACATATTAGAGGAGTGGCAACTCGTCTTGATCGAACGTGGAAACAATTTGCTGCTGGTCTTGATGAAAGAACTGCAGTCCTGGCATTATCAGTACTCTTTCATCACAAGGCAGAAGAGGTGAGTTTTCTAAATGATTCCTTCGTATTTTCTCTCTATTTTCATATTAAAGAAATCAAAGTACTGAAATTTTTTTGTTGGTGTGATAATTAAGTAGATTATTAATCTTTCACAATGGAAAATGCATTTGTCTTTGGAAAGAAGGTAAATAAAAGATTGAAATTCTGTGGTGTTTTCAAAATACTGTAAAATGAAATTCAGATAATAATAAAAAAATATTTTGTTTATTTTAGTATGTTGAAAATGTATCAAGTTGGAATCAGGCCTGTGAAAACATGACTATTCCATCAGAAATAATGGTTCTTGAAGCTGCTATTCATCAGCATCAGAATTTGTATGAGTCCATGTGCCAAGCATACACAGAGGTAAGCAACAGTTTTTTATGTGTGAAAATACTTTTTTTATGTTAGCAGAAACATCTACCATTAGAAAACACTACTTACAAATCAGTTAATTGGCTGTACCTTGACTTATGTATGTAATTAGAAATGAATTTCAATTCCATCTGACTAAAATTTTAAGTGGATAATTACCATTCCAAAACATAACTAGTTGGTATTTGTATGTACTTGTAGGACTGCTTGGTTCCAGATGGAAAATTATCGCAGGCAAGCTGATAATTCTTCCTTTTTAAGTGTTTTAATTTATTAATAGCAACAGTAGGGCAACTTTATGTTTATCCTGTTTGTTTGCATAGCAGATAATTTATGTTCTGTTTTATCTGGAGCACTGATTTGTGTATCCTAATTGCACTTAATTTTGTTTTTCCCATGGGGGAAGTTGCTTCTGCTTGCATTTGCACCGAATGTTCCGTCTGTAGAATCCTTACTCTGAACCCATTTAGTTTCAGAAATTTATTGAGGAGTAAAAAATGCCACAGGAACAACATTATTTAAAATAGCAGAAGTAAACATTAGGAAGATGGAAATCTAAACACTTAGAAGGAATTTTAAGGACAAACTGCCAGATCTAAATTGCATGTCCATTTGAGTGAAATTGTGTGCAACTGATTAGATTATTCAATTTCAGTTGCTTAATGTAATATTATAATTCAAATGTTGGTAGTTCAGTGTATGTCAAGTATATATGTATTGCATCATTTAATGGCATGTTATTGTTCTGCAGTGTAAAAATGAAATAAAGTAATTTTTGCTGTATCACATGTCTCACTGCAACATGTATATTTTAAATTTTGTAAGCACCACTCACATTGTTGGTCAATCATTGCTTGAAATTTTGAGTTAAATTCTTTCTTTCCAGTAAATTGTGTGGTATTACACAATTGGTACACTGTGCAGTGTCTGAAAATAAAACTTTTTTGAAAGTCATGTAGTTAATAAAATTTATTTAATTTGAGTATCCTATGAAAAGATTTTATTTTAATTTTTTGTTTCTTAAAAGTAATGGTTCATAATGTGATAGTCCAGCTTCTTTTGATGACACAGGTGATAATTCATAAATTGTTATACAGTTTATATGTTTATTGTAGGCATGAATGCAGCAAAAATTTCAATAGTTGTCTCTTTTTTATTGACAGTGTTACTGCAATATTCTGTCAGGTAAATGTGTATTGCACCTAATGGTTGGATTTGTGAGATGTAGACTTCTCGTTTTTCTCATAGAAGAATTGAAGAACATGAATGGATGACACATGCCATAGCATGTGTATCCTATATGTTCTATTTCATACCTGCATGAACATGTGGGAGACATCTGAGAGAATATTTTACTCAAATCATGAAATTCTTAAATAGGGTCTTTTTCCAGATCCACATTTTGATAAGTCACTTTAAATCTCAAAACATCACTCAATTTGTTGTTGTATCTTAAACAAATTTATGATAAAGACTGATTCATTTTACTCTGTTTTCCCCTTGAAAAGTACATTTGACAGTATATTTTCTCTGCTCTTCAAGTGATTAGATTTCCATTTCTAATAGTTTATCTCTTTAATTAAAAAGGGAAATATGCTTGAAGATTTTCTTTTCTTTGTCACAATGTTTTCATCAGTGTGTACTATTTTTATTTACTTGTAAAAAAGGTTTCCTTATTATTTTTGTAATTTCATTTTTCTTAGTTCCCTCCACATCATTACAATATAATTTTGTAAAGATTGATGAATAATTAACTCTAAGATTAATTATCTCATTAAAATATAATTTGAGAAATAACTATGTGACACTTTCAAACTGCTCAGGAAATTCAGTGAGCTGCTTAATTCAACATTCAATAAACAATCAATTTGTACCTAAACTGTCATAAGGCAAACTGACTTGTAAATGGCCCCTAAATTATCAGCTGGCTATGAACTCACTACTCTATTGAAAGAGGCATGCGGCATAGTGTAAAGATTCTTCAATGTGTTCTAAGGCTCTCTACTTATACATACATGTTTTTAAATATGATGATATAGGAGTCACAACTATGCTTAAAGAATGAAAAGTTTAAATCCAGATACGATTATTTTTGATACAAGTGCTTTAGTTTTTTCGTTTTCTTTTTGGTCTGATTCTTAATAAATAAACATTCAACTGTGTGGAAGCATCCTACAGAGTGAGTACTGTGAGTGTGTCCCCATGTGAGAAAAGGCAAATTAAATGGTACGTAGTTAAGAAAACCAGTGGAAACGAATTGGAGCATAAGAAGCTGAGTAGGAAGGAATGGAGCCTCCACTCCCCTGTGAGTCTCTGTGCTTGCATTCAAGGGCACAAGGGATGTCTTTTCAATTAGAGTACAACTTAAGCCTAGCTTTGTTGCATGCAATGCAGTGCTCCAAGCTCTCATGTTTGGTTACTCCATTACCACATTTAATGAAAGAAAATGGGCAAAGACATGTTGAGCAATGTATAGCAGTTTCTCTAATTGGTTTAATATGGCAATGGAACAAATCCTACAAAGTAAAGGGAAGTCAAAAAAAGTTTATTTTATATTGAAGGAGAAGTATTTTGAAAAATTTCATTTGTGAAAATTATATTTTATAAATAACTAAAACAGCTAGAGATAAAAAAATGGGTATTTCAGAAATGTAATTTAATATATATTCATAAATATATTGATGAAGCAAGATATTTTAAAATCCTTTTAAAAATACCCACCAAGTTCATGAGAAACCTTTTCTCCGTCAAAATTTGGTATAAACTTAAATTCCTTTTTCTGGGAAAATGGAAGTCAGTAATACAATGCTACTCTCTTTCCTTAAATGTGAGGGGAGAAGGGAATTGATAAAAGAACAAATTGTGTATATCTATATAGCAATGGTAGATTCACAAATGCATTAAAATGACAGATTGTTTGTTGATAATTAATGCTTCTGATATTTAAATATTGTCCGTAAGTTTTTTTATTAAGGATTGTCATGTGTGTTTGTTTTTTCTAGGTGAGAATAGATTTTATATCAACTTAAAAATATTTTTCTAATAGAGTGACTGTTGCAATTGACTCTATATTGTCTGTTACTAAGGGGTTCATTATAATTTTACCTTCTCCTTTCTTTTTGCACATTGGCCTCTGCCTGTTGTAGATAAATGTTGATGCGTATATTGCCCAGATTCGTATCGCCTTGCCAGCTGGTACCACTTCTGCAGAGTATGCCAGAGCTTCGAACGAATTTTATGATTAGCATCAAACAAAAAATTAAAGCTTAATAGATGGGAAATTATTTCCTATTTGTGCCTTTTAATGTGCTTCATTAGTTAAACTAAAGATGAATTAAAGATAATTTAATGATTGTTTTAAGAAAACTGTAATGTAATACCTAAAGCTTATCTTGCTTTTAATAGATTTTTATATTATTATTTCAAAAGTATTGTAACATATCCAGCTGTTGTAAATGTTTGTGAAGTGTTACTGATCTGAAAAATCTATCACTGTGCCTTGCCTTCAGAAAAGCTCATGTAAGTTGAAATACTTTCTAAAAATAATGGGAATATGTTCTACAGTGAATAATTAAGATAAATATTATTTCAATAATTAAGATTGTGTGTTAATTATTTAGATAAGAACTTAATAATATTTCTACCTACTAAAATAGAAATAAATTATAAATTAATTCATTCCATATAATGATTATCTTTCTTAATTTGCATAATACACCAGAGACATGTTACTTAGCCTTAATATGAAGGTTTAGGAATATTGAAAAATTAAACATACAGTGATAGACACAATTCTAGCTAAAATTAAGCATGTTCGCATGTCTCATCAGAAAGCTTTAATGATCAGATCAGCAACCTCTATACAATTCTTTGTGAGTTTTCAGCTTTCTGATAAAATCTATTGAAAATTTTCCCATTAGTTTGATGCAAAGAAACAATGTATAATATTTTTGAACTTTTTAACACAGTTTTTCTCTTTTTACATTTAATTATCTTCCAAAGTAAATTTAATAATATTCTGTTAGTTAAACAGTATTTCCTCCCAAAAGAAGAAAAATCTTTCATTGTGTAAATTAAATTATAATTTTTGAAACACAAACAATAGCTGGGAGTGCACTTTTTGGTATAGAGAAACATTTCAAATTTCATAATATTAAGCAATAACATATTACTCATGCTTCTTTCATTACATGCATAAGCCAGAAAAATTAAATGTAACACTAATGTGTAGATTTTCAGCACATAAATATTGAATAATTTCAATTGGTATGTAGGAAACATTCAGAGCTGTGGTTGCTAAATAAATATTGGTAATTTCAAAAATGAATACAACAGAAATATAAATTGAGAAATAAAAATATGGAAATGAAGTTAATTTATGTCATATTTCCTAAGTTCAATGGAAGACATAAAGATGAATTAAAATCCATGGCTTAAGCTGTTTGGTGGTGTTTGGCAACCACCATGAATGTGCTAATTTTTCTCTAGAGATGTATTGATCTATGTTTCTCTGTTACTCAGTGTTTCTATTAGTAGCTGTGTTGTTTTGATATGCGCGCGGTTGGCAATTGTAGAAAAGCAATAAGTGTTTTGTGTGGGTGTGTGTATGTGGTGTGTTTATGGTGCAACATAATATTAAGTAATAAGGCCTCTTGTTAGATACATGTATTAGATGCATTTATTATAACCTTTTATTGCTATCAATTCAAAATTCTATTTTTTGAGAAATTGTATTTTTGGTATTATAATTGTAAGATGGCATTGCCATTGTTGCCCCATGAAAGGGGGAATGGAGGTTTGACAATTTTGATCACATAGCTTTTGTTACAAATTCAGTTTATAGGTAAAAATTACTTTATTATTATTTTTTTTTTAATTGATTGATTTGATCCAATTTTTCTGTCATTTAAAGTTGAAAGACAGTAATTTGTAGAATGTTCCTAGAATGAATTAATATAATTCTTTAAATATATCGATATATAGAAGGCAAATCCTAAACAAAATTGTTATAAAAACTTTCTGTAATGATAGCTAATTTACTATATGACAAGAAAATTTAATGATATGTTAGAGCAGAGCTATTTCTCAAAAACTCAAACAAAGAAACAAAGAATTAGCAAGAAAACTGAAATCTGCTAGAAATGATGCAAGATGATTGAAATCAAAAACTCTTACTTTCAACCACAAATTGTATATTTCATTAGGAAAATTATATAGGTTTTTGTTATTTTACCGTGCAAATAGATCTGCATTTAGTACATTGTTTACACATTTAATACATTGTATTCCATGCATCTTGCTTTTGTCTGTGAGGCATTCTGTTATTGTGAAAATTGCGAGGTCATTCTTTTATTCAAGAATTTTTCATAATCTTTTTGACATCTAATACAAACATTAATATATAATAATTAATATCATTTGATGCGTTAAAAATGTATACTTTCTGAATACCCCAGTGTTATTCCTTAATATTAATTTTGAGATGAAAAATCACAGATTTTATACATTTATTGTTCCTGAAGAAATAGAGATAGAAGAATTGACTCTGAATAATTTTACTTTTTTTTCAGTTTGTTTTTGGTTAATTTAATTTTCTTTTCTATCTTTGTACAAGATTGTTTATTATTCTGTTTTCCAGGTATACAATTCCTATCAAGCATTGCTCAACGGTCTAGACATCATGATACAAGTTTGCCACTGCTTCCCAACCACTCCAAATGCCAGAGATTGTATTTTCAACAACAATGTATGATCCACATTTTTAAGTAGTATGATGATGCATCTTTTTCTTTCAGTTTTCAAATTGGTGGAAGCGCAGGGACTTGGCCATGTTGGGGTTTTGGAAGTAAATGGTTCTTTTCTGTAGTTTTCTTTCTCTATTTCATGTATGTCTGGTCTGTTGTTGACTATTACATAGGTATCTCTATAATACTTTTGGAAAGAAAATACTTTTGAACTTCAATAATTATTTTCAATTACAAAAATAATTTTAAAATCAATGGTCCATGTAATAGCAACAGCAGCATCAAAATCAAGTCATGAGAAAGAGCAAGGAAAATTAAAATACATTTATATAAGAAGTGTACATTGCCTGCAATGGTGATGGAAAATGTCTATATTCTGAAGGAACTAATTCGGTGTTGGTTGTTGGGTCCTCCACAGGTTCATAGCACTAGCAAAAAACTGCTCTATCAGCTCGACCACCTGGTTCAGATTTGTAACCAACCAGGAATGGAGCCCTCCCGAAAACATGTATGCATCTCTTTCTGGTTCTTTCTTTTCTTCAATCTTTCATTCTTATTGCTAGCAGCTTCAGCATAGACATACAATACCAAGCATTAAGAGCACGTGAACGTATGTATTGTTCAATTTTATTTTCAACTTATATTCTGTTTGTAATTTAATAAATTAATTATAGTTTTGAATGTACTAGATGCATATACTTCAGGCATTGCCTTTGATAAATTGCAGATGTTTTAATTTTGGTTATGAAGCAAAAATCACTGCAATGTGGAATAATGTTTGCTCAATTCTAGCTCTTTACAACATTTGTGTACTATTAATTTAAAACAGTAGGAAGATTCTGAAATGTTCTTAATGAGAGTATTGTGTTCCTTACTTGAGGACAAAGTAATTGTTTTCGCTTGGTTCATTGCATGTTTCATGCTTGGGCATGCTTTTGGTTTCTGAATATATGGTATCTTTTAATTAGCATAATGATAGCATAGTCCAGACAGAGGCAATGAGATATTTCATTCTGTTGATGTTCACTGAACTCAAGTGAGTATATTGGTGTCATAAGCTCAGCTGTCAATTGCTAACTTTGCCAAGTCTGTGGTAATAATCTGTTTTTATGAAGATTTAGATCACTTAGGTGAATTAGAAACCAAGTACAAATACACAAATACTCTAAAATTAGGAATTGATGAAATCATACTGATATTTATTTTATCAGAGTGAAAATAATATCATTATTTCTCTATTCAAGAATTCAAGACGAAAGCTGAAGGGCCATACAGTAAGTGTATTTTACATTCAAAATATATTTGTGTAGAGGCACATTTTCCTCTTTCCTTTGTAGCTGCACTGATGTTGATTGGGGAAAGATGTTTTTATAATGGTGTCATTTTTCCATGTGTCTCTACAGTTCAAGGAAATAATTTGCACTTCAATGTGTACAATTTAGAATTTATACTTCATTAGTAGAAACTGCATGATTGTTGGATTTCCTTAAGACAGTAGACAAACCTTTCAGCTTGATTAATTGATGTTCTGGAAACTTTCTGCTGTTATCTTGCCTCTTTAATTATATTTTTTGTAATTAGTTTTTATAAATTTTATTTCTTTTAATTCTAAAAGTATTTTGAGGCCATCCATTTAGTATTGAGGGATTTGTTAGTATTTTTTCAGCTTTGAAGTAAATACACTATTTTGTCATAAATTGCAGTGATATTTTACTCTACATATTGCATTTTCAATATGGAAAAGAACTCAATGATTCAGATGTAATGTAATGGAAGAAAATAGTATTGTTTTTTACTGATTTACACATTGAATATAAAATTTAATTAAAATATTAATGTCCACTTTAAAATTTTTATAATGTTCACCAACATTTATGAGCACTAATAGTGAAAGTATTAAATTAAAATGTTCTCTGAATATTCTTTTCAAAATGCAAATGAATTTATCACCGAAGAACTTTCTACAGTCATGTTTAATTAGTTACTTGTATTTTTATTTCCAAAATTTGTATTTGTACTTGTTTGAATGAGTCTTAACATAATTTCTGGGATGAACTGCATATATTTCCCTTTTGAATGTCAGTGTGGGAGAAAATTACTAGTTATATAATGGTTTTTGTTTGTTAGTTAGTTTGTTTAGGTTGTTGTGCATAAGTCAAACATTAAAAAAATATTCCAAGTTAGAGATGTTTGTATTTAATCAACTTAATGAAAAATGAATATTTGGATGTGCAAACAAATGCAGAGTAGTAATTTTTTTTCAGTTTATTTACTTAATTCATACTTCTAATAATTTGAATGAAATTAGAAATTTGATAAACTTGTTTTACAAATAGCCTTCAGCAAATATTTTTTTAAATAATAATTATTTTTATTTTATTGTTGTTATTATTATTACTATTATTATTGTTATTATTATTACTATTATTGTTATTATTATTATTATTATTATTATTATTATTATTAAACTTCTATTACTTTTCCTTTGTATTTTGTAGTTGGATAGAGTAATTTCAGTTCTACTTACACAAACCCTAAGTTTGGTCTGTTTATTGTATGTAAATGTAAAGTTTGGACTAGTAGTTATAGTTTGTATATAATAAACTGATAATTAGTAATATATTAGAAAATATTGCAAGTGTCTTCCATTCTAGAAAAGAGGATGCTTTACAGGTTACTGTGGATGGCCAAGTTGTGTATGATACTGGCCGACCCACAGGCAACCCTGCAGCCGATTATTCGGAGGGAGCTAGTCATGTCCTTGCTGTGATTCACCAAATCTTGAACCACCATCGTACCTTAGAACAAAAATGGCATGCCAAGAAAATAAAACTTCATCAACGCCTTGCACTACGCCTTTTTCAAGAAGATGTTAAACAGGTGAGTTGCCAAAATTATATAGTTATAACAGATTTTGCACCTTATACTCTAGTGTGCATTGTATAACATAGGGTAGCACGATAAAGTATTTTATTACTTGGACTCATTTTAGATGACCTCAAAAAAAAGTGTGAATCAGTTATTTAGAAATACATTCAATTTCATCAGTTCTTCCTAGATTATCTTAGATTCTCAATGTTTCGTTCTGTAAAATATTTCATTTTAAAGAGTTTTTCAAAATTTTCTGTGAGTATATGAAAAATAAGAACTTTAATTGGAAACAAACTTTTTTAAACATCATATAGAAGTAGTAATACCAACTATTAAATGTCAAGTCTACTGAAACTGGTAATTTTAATGTGCACTCTAATGTCAAATTAAGGGAGCTACAATAGCAATGTCTCAGTAATGATATAATAGCCTAAAGATAGTAGCAAAGAAGGCAAGTTCCAATACATAAAAATCTTATAAAAGAAACTCGATAACATTAATCAACACAAAGACTCATTATTAATAAGTTCAATAAATGTATTTTGGGAGTTTTTTACAATATTTCTTACATACTATCTCTGATAATCAACACTAACAATTTTATTTAATCAGTTCTTACAATATACCATAAAGATGTTGCATAACAAAAAGTTGTAACAGCATTTGCAGCTCACTTTAGAGTATATATAATTTAGCAAAAACAATTTTAGGAAAAAAATACAACCTTAAGTACAAAGCAGATCAGGCATGTTTTAGATCATTTTTACAGTAATAATGTAAATGAAAGGTCACTTTCTCTTCCATTTTAATAAATTTTTGAGTTGACAACACATCTAATAATTAGTATTATATACTTTTTATGTATATCATTGATAATCTAATATTCTTCATGGGCAATTTTATTTACTCAATATCATTATGAAAGATTCTGATTATTGAATAACAAAACATTTGCAAAGATTGTGGATTTCAATTGACATAATTAATTGAGAAGAGCTAAACACCACATGTGCCAAGCAATTAAAATAAGGTGAACTAGAAGGACGAACAGGTGAACGTAGATGGCAAAAATAGAACAAGCTCGCAAATTTAAGTAGGTACCTGACCTTTCTTCATCTTCACCAGTCTCATAATACTTTTTCTTCTGGATAGCTTCTTCAGTTTTGATTGACGTTCCTGCTTGTGCTTTAGTGCAGTGTCCTTGTATCAAACGGCCGTGACAGTAAAATTGGTTATTTGCAGAAGATTCATATGTTCCAACAAATTCTATATAGTATTCATTTCCTTTGGTCTGAGTATACATTTTGTTTGCTCGATGAACTTTTGCAGAATATGATTTCCCAATGTCCTCCATTTTGTTTGGATTGTCATCTACATCAGGCTGTTCTGCAGACTCTGCTTTCAACTGTTTTCCAGACCGTTCTTCATATTGCCCTGATTGAATCTTCTTTTTTTCGATGCAAACTTGTTCATCTCTGAGATCTTCGTCATCATCTGTGTATTCCTGGAGATCCTCTGTACTTTCATCTGTCTTCTGCTTATTAGTAAGCTTCCTCCTGCTGAAAGATGAATGGAAAGTTTCATTTTGGTTTTCTGTCCCACAAATCCATGTAACAAGTTTTTTCTTAAATTTTTGATTGGCTTCATCAAGGAGCATTCTCTCTTCTCTTTTGTGTCGTTTATCTCTATGGCGTTTGCCTTCTCGGCATTGTTTTTTGGGACGATTCAAGGATTTTGAAGATGAAATATTAATTTCATTGGATGACATTTTCACTTGAAGATTCTTATTCTTTTAAATCGTTTAAGTCACCTGCAAAAAGGAGTGAATGAGAAAGGTTACAAGATTATGGTTTTTCTTGTATATAATTAAAAGATTTATAGTGAACCCAGTCAAACCATTTTCATAACAATTTTTGCACATGTAAGCAATATGTTTACTTCTATAATATTACATTTTTATCAGGTTACTTTTTCTCCTGTTTCAGTTCACTTTATAGTAGAATTAAGTTCACTTTAGAAATATTATTATTTATTCACTGGCGTGAATACATATAACTACTGCTCTGAATCTTCGAACGTAACACCTAGTTATTGTAAAATTAATGATGATGTAGAAGACCAATAGAAAATAGTTACATAATCATAGGCATGCTGAGCCTTGAACAAAAGGGGGACCAAGTACCCTTCTGGACCTCTTTTTGCATTAAATTTTTTTACTGACACATTTTACTAGCAAACAAATAAAACATACTTCATGGAGAATGAAATTATAACTTAATTGTACAATTCAAAATTCATTTTAAGTTAAACCATTTACAGTCTTCTTAGATTAGGCTTGGAACCTTTTCTCCCAATGGCATATAACAATTTTCCATATTGTGAGTTAAAAAAAAGGGGGAAAATCAGAAGTTGATCATATTTACAGAAATAATATATTCTTTATGTAGTAAGGCAATGGTACCTCTTTCAAAAGGTAGTGGAGGTGGGGGGGGGGGCATTCCCCCCTTGCCTCCAGCGCACACATACATGTACATTATCATTGAGACTAAAAACAAATTTAAAATTTCATTATTCTTACTTGAGAGTTGATTTTCTTTTACTTAATTAAATTAAATGCTATTCATATTGTAACTGTATACTCAAAGGTTTTTTAAAAATTGGATGAAAGACCCACATTTTGACTGGCAGTAGTAGGTCTATTATTCTATTTATCTCACCATGTTTCTTGATGAACTTTCCAGTGGAGTGAAACTTTGCCCTTGACACTTAATTTATGTTCTGTCTTATGACTAGGGTTGGGAAGTTTATGCAAACACTTAGCCCTAAAATAGGCATGCAAGTTTGTCACAAAAATGTTCAAATATGCACAGAAATATTTAAAATATGTACCCTTTGGTTATATAACCGTGCATTTTGCAATGTCATTCACAACTTCAGTGGCCTGCAGCAGCAAAAATGCTGCTGAACAAATCTACTCAAAATTATATTCTTAAAAGTAGATCACACACTGCTCAAAAACAAAAAAATAAAATACTCTCATATACTAAGATAATAAAATACTTTCATAAAATACTCTTCAATAAATTAAATATTTTAACAAAAACTACAATTGTTTTCACAAACATTGTAGTAACATAGTTTGGATGCAACTGTCTTGTGTGTCCAGGTAACGCTACGGCAAAGGCTGTGATGTCGATGTTTCGACCAATTTATTGTGGTATTCCTTAGGGGTGAAGTGCCTCATAGTGTCCTGCCAGGTACTTCAGCCCTGAGTAAGACCATAATAAGATGTTCGAAATGTCAGCATCACCCGCACAGCCAAGATCATTTGCATTACTCTGGCCACAGAAGCTTTTGGAATAGTATAGTATGTATATGAACAACACAAAAAAGTTGCTGTTCCAAAACACATAACATGAATAGCAAATATTTAATGGCAAGTTCCTTCCTGGACCCTTGCTCTCACATGCTGTTTGCTATGTTGTAAGCAGTGATGCATTGAGTATGAGAATTCAGTCAGTATATGCAGTATGAGAGTAGGCAGAATAACAGAACCAAATATTTGCACTTTTCAGTCAAAATCAAAACTGTTACATTTGTTTTTGGATTTTCTTTAGTTTGTGTGTATTAAATTAAACCATAGAGATCTCTTACATGGCTATAGGTTGCATAGTTTTCTTTTAATTTCTGCACACACAGGAATTATTATATTAGTATTATAGATTGTGTAGCAGTAGATACTTCTGCACATTTTTTGAGGGCATTAAGAACACAGAATATCATAAACATTTTTTCTTAAGATTTTATTCTTAGAAGAACCTTCAATCGATCAGTATTGTCTTGTATTATTGTATATTGGTATTTCCCACATCACATGATATTGGAATTTTGATGTTTGTGCTAAATCCGCTATCTGAATGGCAGTGAATGAACACTGGAATTGTATTTTCTCATTTGAGAATCGTGTATCTATTTTATCCCTTCTAAATGTATTTTGATCTATTTATCCTTTCTATATTTTCTCAATACCACAACAAATTGTTCTTCACTGGTTCAGTCAGCCATCTAAATATTTTTGTATACGCCTCCTTAAATCATCTAGAAACTTTATGCTTTGCATTAATTATTCACTTTCACTTAAAAATAAATTTGTTTTTTTTTGGGGGGGGGGGCAAAAGAATGAAAAATATGCAATTAAACTTATTTTTATGCCCCAAATCTCTAAAACATGCATTGAATGCAAAACATTCTGTATCTTAGTATTCAATATTTCACAAGAAAACTTTTAAGTTTCTGAAAAATATGACCTTTAACAAAAAAACATACATGAACTTCCCAGCTTCACATACATCATTATAACCATATTCAAATTTAATTAAGATCTTCCTTTATCATTCCAAAACCAGTGTTTCCAGGTCCATTTACATAAATTTTTCTTTGTTATATTGTATATTGACAATAATTACTCAGTATATTACATACTCTCATTCTATTAAAGTGAATTAGCAAGTCTTATTGTCAGCTTATAATTCAGGTTTGTTGGCAATAACTTTGGTTTGTAAAGCATATGATAGTGGGAATGAACTGATGGAGTATCAGGTGTTTTTTTAAATTTTTTAAATAAATAAATGAATGAATTAGTATGTCTGTATCGAAATGTTCTTCTGATTACTAAATAAGCATGACATAGTAGATTATAACATTTCTTATGTAATTGAATAATTTCAGTCCTTTTATTGTACATTTTAATGCAGTTTTGTGGTTATTTCTATAGCTTATAATTATATTCTATAGCATATAAATTAAATGTATTAAAAAAAGGCTTACTGATCTATGTATTTCATAAACTGTTGTCATATGCAGTGAGCAAATATTACATACTACCTGTAGAATTTGTAGATCAATGTTTGTCTCCAGTAGGTCTGGGAGTTATTGTTGATCTGATGAGAGGTCTATGAGAAAATTTAATTAAGCAATTTTTAAATTTGTAGGTTTATAATTTTGGTCTAATTTAGTTATTCACATATTTTGCCTGTTGTAAGACAATTATATGCAAGCCAGGATTAATATTTTAAGTAATACTTAACTATAAGGCCCCCTAATAATATTATAATATTGAACATATATAGTTAAAGTAGATAGAAAAGTAAATTATAAGCTGTGCAATTTATAGAAGTAATATTAAAATATTTTACATATTTATTAACTAATAAAATAATTTGGTTTAAATAGTAATCGGAAGCCCCAACCCAGCAGTGTGCTTAAGCACATTATTGTTCTAAGCTCTGTTTGTGCATTATTTACTCCTAATTATGTAAAATGCAGTTATGAGCTAATAAAAATAATGGAATCAAGAATAGTAATTGACATAAAGGTGTTAGAAAACATACTAGATTAAAATAATAGCATTTATTCTAAAATACTTCTTATTTATCAAGTGCATGTAAAATAACAATGACCAACCTTTTTCAGTTTTGAATGGTAGTGTACTTGTTTATTAGCTGCTGGTCATGCTGAAAAGACAAAAATCAAATATGTATAAATATACAATCAAACAAGTTTAATTTAGCAATGGGATAATAATAAGTTCCAAAAAGCAAATTTTTATGGAATAGTAGATACAATTTGCAAAATATGGTATGATACTCTCAATTGAAAAATTGAAATTGGTGAATATGTAATTCTTTTCAAAAAATGTAGCAATTGGAAACACATTCACAAGTACTATTCTACATAGGTTAACAATTTATTAAATCTTTTTTTATTCACTATTCATTTATAGGCAATAGTTCCACACTTAGAAGTTGATGTTAAAAAAACAAACATGATAAATACTTTCTTTTCAGGAAAAATAATACCAACTTAAATATATTGTCTATTTATGCTTGTAACATTGCTCTTCTAAATGATGGATATTACTTCAGAACCATTATTGCATCTGGTAGTTCATATACTTTGAATACAGTCTTTTAAAAATAAATTTTACAATCCACAGGTGTTAGCATATAAAGCACTAACAAAGTACTTCAATCTCACAACATAAAATATAACTTGGCTAAACCACAATGAATACGAATTTATTGGGATCAAGAAAATGTTACCCATACCTTTCCATAACACAACTGTATACAATGATTTTTAAATGCATACCGTCTTTGAGATGTACAAGAAAAGTGGAACTGATCAAAATTTGTCATTGTGCATTATAACCCTTTTATCGTGAAAGGGTGCCGTTTATTTTACGATCAAAGGCAAAATATTTTACTCTATACAACTTGTCTTGTTAACTATAAGATCTTGTCACTAGTAAAAATATATTATTTTCTAAATACATTTCGTAGTTTTACAAAAAAAAGACATTTTTCACTTTTCTTGTGCATTGACGAGATCTGAAATGTCGTATTAAATACTTACAACACCGCCGACCGAATTTTCTGTTAAATTCATGTGGAATCTGTAAGGGAAGGAAATACATTCGAAAGAATGGTTATTATTAAGAACTAACGTGTATATAAGATACTATGCTATGCACGATGACATTATTACCGAGAATAGTTCGTTTTTTTCCAAATATTATGTAAAATTAGTTTAAAAATCTTATTAGTTCACACCGTTGGAGGTGACAATGACAATTGATTCTGATGTGTTGTTAAGGCGTGACTCGTGTCAACAATGTTACGTCATCCTATAAAATAAACAGCATTCGAAATTATACACTTAGTTTAATAAGAAACTTCCATTCCGTCAAAGTTGGTGCTACTTAGTCGT